TGCCGATCATGTTGGGCAGCGTGTCGGGCGTGGCGCGCGCGGCGATGAGCCCCACCAGCGAGTTCTCCCAGCGCTCGCGCCGGTGGTCCGCACGCACCACCAGCGTCTCCCACCCGGCACTCAGCTCGCGCGCCGCCTCGAGCAGCGACGCGATCGCAGCCGCCTCGCCACTCGTGCCCGCCACACCATTGGTGCTGGCACCGTTGGGCGATGCGTCCAGCTCGTCCACGTCCGAAGCGGCATCGCTGCGTGCGTGATCGTCATCCTCGTCGCCGTCCACACTCGCGGGGGCCGAGGCGGGAAGGTCCAGCGTGGCTTCGAGCGCCGAGGTGGCCGAGACGAGGCTGGAGCCGCCATCGCGCACAACGAGGTTGATGAGCGTGCGGTGGATCTCGTTGAGGAGGGTGCAGGGCGGGTCGGAGAGGCGGTGCTGCAGCGCCTGCTCGTAGTCGTCGAGCGTAAACGTCGAGAGCAGCAGCGGTTTCCCGTGCGAGACGAGAAAGTAGTAGCTCACGATGAACAGCTCAAACAGCTCGCCGGGCACGGGCAGCGCCAAACTGCCGCGACCGGGCACCGGGCGTTGCTTGCGCCGCTCGAGCTCGCCGGGGACCTTGACCATGAGCTCGCGTTTGGTGATGGGGTCGAGCTCGAGGTCGTCGATGGGATACTTGAGGTTCTTCCTGCGCAGGCGCTCCTCCTCCTTTGCCTTTTCGAGCGCCGCCTGCTCGGCGGCATCCGCCTTGCGCTGGGCGGCGGCGCTGAGCTTCTTGAGCTTTTTGCTCGAATCGGTGCCCGAGTCGTCGCCGTCGACGAGCAGGTACTTTTTGCGCTTGGACAGCTTGGCGTCCTTGAGCGCCTCGTTCTTCTGCGTGATCTCGTCGGTGGGCTCGAGCGGGATGGCGTACTTGCGCGCGAGCCAGTCCTTGACGCGCCATTCTGCGCCGATGTTGGCGGCGCGCACGATGCAGTCGCGCAGGTACTTGCGCAGGATGGTCTTGGAGAAGGCGAGGCGGTCGCGGCTGAGCTTCTCGGACGAGGTGACGTGCGTGCCGCCCGTGGGCTGGTCCTCGTCGTCGATGAGGTCGACGTGGTAGACGTAGTTGGCCGGGTCGTCGGCCTGGTTGGCGGCGTCGAGCTCGAGCGCCAAGTCGGTGCCGACAGTGTGGATGGGTGCGGGCGACGGGGATGGGGACGAGCGCGGGCTGGAGTGCGACGAGTGGGCGTCGTGGCCGTTGGGCTCCTGCTTTATCTGCGCTTCGGCGTCGTGGCCGTTGGCTGGAGCGGGGGCTGTCGCCGGCGGTGGCTTGACGTGGGAGACGAGCGCATAGTACTTGTCGCCGTCGAGGTCAAAGTAGACGGTCTCTCCGGGGAAGAAGCGGTGCTTGAAGCGGTCGTAGACGAGGTCGACGAGTTCGTCGATGCGGCCGGTGATCTGGAACTGGACGGCGCGGAGGACGGGCGCCTTGAGCTGTTCGGGGAAGATCTTGTGGAGCGCGATGGCCTCCTTGCGTTCGCTCTTGAGTGCCTCGAAGTAGGTGAGGTTGATGCGACCGGTGAGTTCGCACTGGAAGATCTTTTGGTTGTAGAAGGTGAGGCGATTGGAGTAGGACTCGAAGTCAGGGAAGAGCTCGCCGGTTTGTGCGAGGTAGAAGACGTCCGGGTCGTCGGAGCCCGAAGCGATGGGGGGCGGGACGAGCTCGACGACCTTGCGCTTGACGAGCGGCATGGCGGGTGACGAGGGCGAGTTAGAGCGGGACTGCGGCCGGAGCGGGATTCATGCGAGGGCGGGGAAGGCGCTCGTGCGAGGGTGGGGGAGGTTGATGTGGAAGCTAGGACGCTCGTTGTATCATGCGACGCGGACTATGGGGAAGGCGGCGCGGTTGCGCAGTGTCGACGCGTAGGGGGCGTGGGCGTAGGGCGCAGATTGAGGTGCACGAGGATTGATGAGAGGGCGCCGGTCGGGAGTGAGGGTAGTGAGGAATGATTGTGGACGGAAAGTGGGGGACGATGTCGAACCGACGATGAGGAGCGGAAAGGAGCTTTGCGTGTGCGGGACGTGACGATGAGGAGCGGACCGAGTGGAGACGAGGATGAGCGAGCGGCCGGCAAGGCGAGGGGGGCCGAGGGGACCAAGGGGGACCCGTCTGGCGTCAGGGCAGCAGCTGTGGACGAGGAGCAGCCATCGGGGCGTTTGGGCACCATTCAAATTTCGCACACCCGCACCTCCTCTTGTTGCAGGCCGACGTGGACACCGACGCACACACTTCTTAGATTCAACTTGAGCTCAGCACAGCCAACCATGTTGCTCAAGCGTGATCCTCCTTCAGTACTGGCCGTGCGCATGGTGGCGAGGCAAGACGCAGAGCCAAGGCCAAGGGAGCTCTTCCGGCCGTCGTTGCACGAAGAAAGACGCTGCTGCCAGAAGACGCGCCTTGGCACCTCTGTTAGGTGCGCGCTTTGCTTTGTTGCTCCACTTTTTCCAATTTTTGGCGATTGGAGCGAGTCTCAAAGCGCTGTCAATCCATTTACGCGCGCCGTCGCTCTCACTCGAGCAGCTCGCCCGCTTCCATCCTTGGACGCGTCCCGCACTCTCGCTCTTCTTGCTCAACGCGCGGTGCGCACCCGATGCAGTCCCCGATCCCCACTGTCTCTCCATCCTCAGCGCAATGTATTGACTGGCATTGCTGCACTACCGACGATTGTCTCTGAACAGGTCGATCTTGGAGCGGCGCATCTCGCGGCGCTCGCGCGTGCCATCGTTGCCGCCCACCTTGCCCCACGCCTTGAGCGGCACCACCATGACGGTGCAGTTGTCCTGCGCGCCGAGCTCCTCGGCAAACGTGAGCACGCTCTGGGCAGCCTGGCTCGGATGCTTGGCGTCGCGGCACAGATCCACCACCTCCTGGTCGGACATGACGCCGCCCACACCGTCGCTGAACGCGATCACAAAGGCATAGTCGCTGCCCCGGATCACCTGCGAAAAGATCTCGGGCTCGACGGTGATGCCCACCTTTTTGAAGCGCGAGTCGCCAAACGCACGCGTGTTGGCCAGCGCTCCCATCCAGCGTGCCTCGCCAAACGAGTCGGTCACCATGCCGCCGCCCATCTTGCGCAGACGCTCCGACTCGGACGGCTCGTCCGGATGGTGGTACGTGGTCAATGGCACCGCCTTGCCGTCCTTGGCGGCGCATAGCAGCATGCGTGTATCGCCCACGTGCGCCACATGCAGACCGACGAATTCGGACGAGTACCATGCAGCGGAAGGCATGTCGAGCGAATGCAGCAACGCCACCGATGCTGTGCTGCCGCCCACGTCGAGGTTCGGGTTGGACTGGATCTGGCGGTCCGCCACGAGCCACGCGAGCGTCAGGCGTTCGGCCATGGTCATCGTCTCCTTCTCCATGCCCTCTGGCGGTGGGATGCGCTTGGTGAGCACGTCCCAACCGGCGTCGGCAACGCCGCCCATGCTGCCGCCGATCATGATGGCGCCCGACTTGCGCGTGGGCTGCAGCATGGTCTTGCTCGACGCCGCCGCCTTGGCCGCGATGTTGCGCTGCTGCTCGTGGCTCAGCATGTTCTTGAGCGTCTCGGGCTTCGACACGTGCGACACCTGGTTCGGCGCGTCGCTCTTGCCATCGCCACCCGCACCCACGCCCGCACCCGCACCGGCAGCAGCCGCGGGCGCACGACGCCCCGCTGCAGGTCCGGCACGCACGGGCTTGAGCTCCTCCTTGCGCACCCAGCGTTCCAACAGACCGCCGGTGAATCGGCGAAAGTATCCGCCGAGCTCGCGCGTGTACTGCACCGTATCGGTGACCATATCGCTCTGAACGTTTTCAAAGGTGTTGTGCAGTTCGTCGCGCAGGAACGTCGATACCTGCTGGCCACCGTGTCCGTCAAAGCAGCCGAACCACACCACCTGTCCCGCGATCTCGTCGCCGCCCGCCTTGTCCGGATCCCACTCGAGCGCGGCGTTGGCGGCGGCGGCACCCGCACGCGACGCAGAGTGCGCGTGCAGCTTGAGGTAGTTGCGACGCAGCTCTTGCGTGGGTACGTGCAGACACGATACCGACGCCGTGTCTTCCTGGTACGCGCGCGTGCCGCGCGATGTCGAGAGCCCAAACACGCCATTGCGCGTCGACTTGAGCTGGATGCGTGCCTGGCCTCCCGCTGGCGAGGTGGTGCGCACGAACGTTTGCTGGTGCCGTCGCTGGCCGTGCCTGCACAGACACGAGGCTGCAGGATGTACAGAGGGCTCAATCCATCGCTGCTTGCCTTTCGCGTCCAACAGTCGTGCACTCGGTGAGGACAGCAGCGAGCGCTGTGGGGGTGCGCACGAGGTCGAGAACGACACGTACGCCAGCCGCGGTGCGATAGCTTGCGACGTGGATCTGCACAGCCGCGATGGACCGGCCACCGCTCCGCCTGCGCCCTTGATCATCTTGTACTCGCAGAGGTACGGCCAGGCGTAGAGCGATGATGTTGGTGGTGGGCAGTCAGCAGCATACGTCGGCAGCACGCTAGGGTCCACGACGCAGTGCAGCTGCTCTGGCGCTCTCCGGCACACGCACACACACACGCACACACAGCTGTGTTGGCGGGTGGGTTCGTGCGTTCGGACATGCCAATCCGGATTCCCTCACAGTGCAGCGCCGAGTGAGGCCGAGTGAGATTTCGGCAAAAGTTTCTCAGCCTCGCCTGCTTTGAACCGAACCGCGACTTCCGCGGGCTGTCTCCATCAATCAAAGCGGATCGGTGCTCCATCGGGATGAGCTCTCGACCGATGCCAATCCGCTGTCCACCTCCACCCACGTTTCTGACAGAATCCGTTTTTTTGCCCGGTTGCAGACCCAGTCATCCGCGCTCAGGCTGCAGCGCGCGAAGAAGGAGCTTCTTAGCAAAGAAAAAGCGTCGGCCACATTCCGCTGTCAACGGCCAACCACTTCGCCTTCGCCTTGCTTCTCCACCATCCTCATCCTACCCTCCGTGTCGGCTTCACAATGCTCGTCAAGGCCTCTTCGTCGAGTCTCGCCGTCTCGCGCGGCGTGCTTCTCGCCGCCCCCTCCGCCGCCGCTGTGCGCACCTACACATCAACGCGGCCGACCTCCTCCCCCGCCCCTTCGGCACCCGCTAGCAAGCAGGCTAAAGCGTCGTCGCCAGCGCCTTTGCTGCACAAGTCGCAGCTATCGCCCAGTGCGCCGCCTCCGTCCAAGGAGCCCTACTCGCGCGCCACCGTGGCGATTGTCAAGGGCCTCGCGCGTCTGATGGGGTACAACTCGCTCACGTCCACTGCCATCCGCGTGACATCCGACGTGTACGATCGATGTGCCGAGCGCGCCCACGCCGAGCGCAACTTCTGGTACGGTGACTGTGCGCTGCCCGAGACGTACCAGTCCTGGTTCCAGATCACCAATCTGCACGTCTACCTCATGCTCGCTCGCTTCCGCGCGTTTGACAGTGCGGCCAACCGCACGTATAGCCAGGAGTTGATCAACCACTTTTTCATCGATGCAGAGTCGCGCATGCGCGATCGCTTTGGCGTACAGACCTCGCGCCTCGTCAAGGGCTACATGCGCGACATGCACATGCAGCACCGCGGCAGCATCCTGGGCTACGACGAAGGTCTGGCGTCCGGCGACGTACGATTGGCCCAGGCAGTGTGGCGGAACATCTGGGGCGCGGGTTGGGGCACCGTCGCCGGTGTCAAGCGCAAACTCGCCGGTGTGGACAAGCTGGTGGATGGTGAGAAGGACGATCCGGAAGGTCAACCCGAGCTGGCTCGTGATGCAGCTTCGTTGGATCCGAGGATTGCATCCAGGCCCAATGCAAGTGCGTATGCGCGCGCGGCCTCGGCATCGTTGGCTGCAGACCGCGCAAATGCTCAGCCCTCAACTCTGCCTCCCGATGCAGAGAATCCAGCTACAATGCCTGCACCTGGCAACATCCTGCCGGCACTAGACCCGCTGGCGGCTGCCCACCCCGAACTCGCCTTCCCACACCACCTCCACCGCATCGTCACATTTATTCGTGCCGAAAGCAGCAGGTTGGCCAACCTCTCGGACCGCGAAATCATGCTCGGCATGGTCCAGCCAAAGAATCAGGGCAGTCGTGGCGATGGACCTGCCGGCGCTTCCACCAGCATTGCCGCTTTCCGTCGCATCTAGCACGCACCATGCCCAATGAACGCATCTGCTCATCCTCGCCTGTCGTGTCCTCATCCTCGCCTGTGTCGTGTCGCTGGTGCGAGCAGATGCGCTCCATGTCGCAGCTGTGCACCGTCAAGTCTTGAAGCCGACCTTGACCTCTGTCGTTCAGACGTGTTACTGGTAGCAGCAGCCGTCAAGATTTCGGCACAGACAAATCGCGCCTCGCCATCAACAAGTGCGCTTGACAGCTGCGCCAAGGCCTGTGACCAGGGCTCGTGTGTTGCTTGCTGATGATCAGATATCCATTTTCCCAACCAAACGGTAGCTGTCTCATCAGCCACGTCGGGCTGATGCCTGGCTGCGTCTCTTGAGGACATGATTGGTCGTCAAGCTGTCAGTAGGTCTACGTTGACCTTCTTACGGCAGCTGCTGCACATCGCAGTTTCACAATCTATCCATGTGCACCCAAGGGTGTCATCACGTCGATACCACTCGAAAGTACACACGCCGCTTGGTAGTGTGCTTCTCTCTTTGTCTCGCGCATGCTCGCTAGCTCGGTCCTTTCTGCCCTGCCTTGCCTCGTCCAATCCACGCTCCCGACATGAATTGCATTCCGTCCTCCTCTTCATCGCCTATCCCGTCTGTCTCACTCTCTTGAGGGGTGATGGGAATCCGCGACCTTGGGCGGGCTTCTACCGTGTGCACCGTCGAAGCCGCCATTTCGAAAGATGCTAGCCCGAGAGTGTCACTTTGCCGTCTCTACCGCTGCCTTGATTGCCCTCTTCTACCCACACGCTGTCTTCCGTAGGCACCGTATCTACAGCCGATGCGCTTTCTATCCCTGCAAAAGTGTACCCTCAGCCGATACGCTGTCTACCGTAAACAGTACACCGTATCTAGAGTCGAATCCGCGTCTCGACACAAGGTCACTTCCTCTTTTCAGAGATCAAAGTGATACAGGCAATGTCGCCGATGGCCGTTTCGCGCGCGCATCCACGCGCCAAGCCCGGTCTCCCCACGTCGGCCACAATGTAACTTCTCCGAACGTAGCCCAGACTCGTCGCCCTACGCACTGGACTGTTCCTTCGAATTCGCACTGCGCTCTGCACACGCCGTGCCCAAGTCCACACGGCTTCACATTGCTATATACAGTTGGTAAAACGCCTAGGTATGGCGCTTGAAAGGATTGTGCAGTCGCGATTTGCGCTTGGACGGTGTGCCCTGCGACTCGGCCATGGATCGTGCATCGTGGTCCATGCTGCCCCTCGCATCCTCTGGAATCGCCGGTACAGGAATACCGTGCCCGCCCGCCAGACCTGCTCCGGCCGACGATGCCGGCAGCCCCTCCGTCGCGTACGGTACCACCAGCTCGCCCGTTGCAGGATCGATCACCGCCTCGTCCGTCAGCAACGCCTCGCCCGCCGAAGCCTTCCTACCCCCGGGCCTGATAATACTGCCCACGCCCTTGGTCACACCACCCACACCCTTGCCTGCAATGCCAACCACGCCCTTGCCTACGCCAAAGCCCGCCTTGCCAACTCCGGTACCCACGGCCAGCACACCGCCGGCGCCCGCGCGGCCTACACCTGCGACGCCCGACGTAAACGTTCGGCTGATGCTCGTGCCCTTGCGCTCGCGGTTGGTCACAAAGTCCGGCTTGAACACAAAGCGCAGCGTCACCTCCGAGTTGTCCGTCGAGCCCTTGCCCGTCAGCGCATACGTCTTCTCCAACGGCTCGAAAGGCTCCAACACGCTCAGGTCCACCTGCGCATTGCCAAGCCGGTCCGGCGTGCCCACCTGGTCCCAGTCGTACGCCTCAAACACCGCCTCGGCCGCCACGCGCGACGGCACCTTGAACTCGCCCAGATTCTCGTTGAAGTCCGGATTGAGCGTCTTCTTGACCACCTTGGACTTGGCCAGCCGCTCGCCGTTGAGCACAAACGCAAAGTACGGGTCCGAGCGGTTGCCGCGGTCCGCCGCACGCAGGTTGCGCGCATGCACCAGATCCACGCGCAGGTAGCCCTGGTTGTTGACGCTCTCCACCGGCTCGAGGTGCAGGTCGATGGGGATGTAGCGGCACTCGATCACCACGCTCGCCACCTGCGCGCCCGCGGCGTTGTGCAGCCGGAACTCGTACTGCGAGTCGAGCGTCTTTTCGAGCACGTCCTTGGTGTTGCCGGTGAATTCGGCAAACACATCCTCGTCGCCTTCGCCCGTGCGCAGTTTGAGCAGGAACTTGGACCAGTCCAGCTCCTTGACCACCGACTCGCCCACCTCGTCCCACGTACAGTGTGCCGTGCGCGCCTTCTCGGTCGTGTACGAGGGCCAATAGCCGTCGTCAAAGAGCACCTCGAGCCGCGCGTTCTTCTTGTGCTGCGGAAGCTGGCCCTGCAGAATGTTGAATACGAGGATGCCCGACTGCTCGCGCAGCAGCTGCTCCTTGGACATGCTCACGCCCTCCTCGGCGCGCTCGGCTGCAGTCGACGGACGGCCTGCGCCCGTGCCGGCGGTCTTGAGGCTGGCGAGCGAGGCGATCGAATCTGCATTCTTGGTATGGCCCTTGGCCGCAGCGGCTCCATTGGTCGGAGCAGCCGCCTCCTTGACGCCGTTGGCCGCATTCTTGACTCCGTTGGCGCGATTGGATTCGATCGAGTGCTTCGAGGCAGCCTCCTCTTCCTCGGTCTCCTCGATGATGGCTCCGCTCTTGGCAGCGGCTTCGTTCTCGCGCTCGCCAAACTCGGCACCCTTGAGGTTGATCGCCGGGAGGAACTGGCAGTCGAACTCGATCTCTCCCTTGTAGATGCCTCGGCCGAGGTGGATCTTGTCCTTGTGCGCGTGCTTGCCCGTGCTGGCGAAGCGGGTGCGCGCGTCTGCGCCGGCCGACTCGGTGGCGAGCTGCGCGACGTCCACCTCGACATTGCCGAGCGAGCGGTCCTTGCTGGTGTTTTGGTAGTCCATGACCTCGACGGTGATCTTTTCGCGCAACGAGTGGACGGGCGCATAGAGGATCTCGTTCCACTCGGGGTTGAGGTTGTTGTTGATGATGGTGCTGCCGTCGACGGGCTGGCCTCGGGCGCGGAGCTGGACGTACGGGTCGGACTTGCCGCCGGTGAGGGCTTCGACGTTCTTTACGTCGGTGGCGCGCTTCATCCAGAACTTGACGACGCCGATGGCCGGGGTGTAGCCGCTGCTGCCGTTCATGCTGCCGGACATCTGAACGGGCTTCCACTCTGCCGACATGCGCACGCGGCCGTTCTTGGAGTTCTTGAGCGGGAACCAGTCCTGCTGCTTCTCCTTGGCGGCGAGCAGATCTTCGAGGCGGATGCTGACGTAGGCGACGACGGGGTCGGAGCGCAGGTCGCGATCGTCGAGGATCTCGACGGTGATGACGGCCTTGTTGCGGTCGGTGACGAGGAATTCGGTGGGCATTTCAAAGATGGGGTTGGTGTTGCGCTTGATGACCAGGGTGTCCTTGACCTGCTGGCCATTGAGTCGGATGCGACCCTTGGGGCAGAGTTCGCCGGAGAAGCCGGAACGCTTGTCGAGCTCCTTGGCCTGGTGAAGGGTGAAGCGGACGACACCGGAGCGCGTCTCGGGGAGCGGCTTGGGCTGACCGTCGTCGCCGAGCTCTTGCTTGACGACCGGGTAGTAGGAGAGCGAGTACTGCACCTCGCCGCGCTCCTTTGCGTCGAGGATGACGGGCGTGCTGAGGTTCTCCTGATCGGGGTCTTCCATGAGCTCCTTGAGGTCGAAGGCGGCCTGGCCGAGGTTGGAGTCGGGGCGATGCTCGTTGTAGTCCATGAGGGACATGGTGAGCATGCCGTTGAGGCTGTTGAGGAGGACGAACTTGGTCTCCTTGAACTGCGGATTGGAGGTGCCCTTTTTGGTGGCAGTCTTTGCGAGCGTGTCGCGGTTGTCGACGGAGAGGGTGACGTAGGGGTCGGGGGTGCCGCCGCCGAGCTTGACGCCCTTGAGGTTGCGAGCGGACCAGATGTTGACCTGGAGGACGCCGACGGCGGTGTCGAGCGGAGTGCCGGACATCATCTGTTCGAGGTTGATGGTGAACTGGTTGGGGTGGTACATCATGGGACCGAGGTTGGCGTGGATCTGGCCCTGGATGAAGTCGGAGAGGCCGGGGATGTTGCCAATGTCGAAGCCAAAGGTGTTGCCGCCGATGGGCTTGAGGACGTAGTCGATCTTGGGCGGCTCCATGAAGGACATGTCGACGAGCTGTACGTGCGGGAAGTTGCTCATGAGCTTCATGCGAAGGCGGACGTAGCCGACAAAGTTGATGTCTTCGAGGAGGATGGGGAGGCCTGCGCCGACGAAGCCCTTGCCGAGGCGGACGGTGAGGACGATTTTGGGGTTGATCTTTTGTGCGGCCTGCTTGACGGTGAGGTCCTGTACGTCGGAGGGGGTGAAGTTGAACTTCCAGTCCATCATGACGATGTCCTCTTCGGTGTCGGGGAAGGTGCGGACCGAGTCGATACGCGGGGCCTTTGTGCCGAGAGTGAAGGTGGTCATGCGGATGGAGTCGAGGAAGGGCGGGCAGTTTTGGAGGAGGATCTGGTCGACGATGCCGATGATGGTGGCGGAGAGGACGGGTTCGTAAATGAGCCAGAAGCGGGAGAGGAAGTGGTTGATCCACTCTGCGGACTCGTGTTCGGAGATCATCTTCTTCTTTGCCATTTCGCGGGTGATGTCGTCCCTGGCGCGCTGGCGGGTGCGTCGCATGGAGGTGTTGTAGTAGGTAGAGCAGAAGGCGCCGATGATGAGGAGGGAGGCGATGCCGCCGCCGAGACGGGTGGCGAAGTAGGTGAAGAGGACGGCGATCATGATGACGGCGGCGTTCCAGTAGAATTGGCCGTAGTAGGCGTCGCTGAGGAAGGTGCTGATGAGATCCATCTGAGCCTCTTCGGCGGGCGTGACGGACTGGTCTGGGCTGAGTCCCTTGTTGGCGCGGGCGAGGCCGGTCCATCCGACCGTGTACCAGCTGGGGAGGTTGCTGGTGGGCTGACCGACGGGGAGCGAGCCTGGAGCGGCCTTTTCCTGCTGGTTGAGCTTGTCGACGTCGCTGAGGTTGAGGGTGGGGTCGACTTTTTTGCCGCCGATGTCCGAGACCATGCCGTGACCGGCGTCGTTCTTGGCGGCGGCGGCGGCAGACTTGGGCTTGAGGCGGTCCATGGCCTTGGCAGCCTGTGCAGCTTTCTCCTCGGGGGTGGCATTTTCGTCGAACTCGAGGACGCGAGCGCCTGCGGCTTCGTTTTGCTTCAAGCGTGCGTTGACGGCGGCTCGCTCCGAGTCGTCCTGGGCACGAGCCGCATTGATCTGCGCCTCGGTGGGACCGTCTGAGGGCGCTGCGTTGTTGGACGCGGCTGCAAAGTCCTTGTGCTTGAGCAACGACGCCATGGTGGGGGTTGGCAGCAGTAGGGTGGCACTGGAGCCAAGGTGAGTTTGAGCGCGCTAGCGGCGCAGGAGGAGGCCGAGCCTAGGTGGTGGTGGGAGCTGGAACCGCGACGCACAGCACGGATATTGATGGAGGGAAAGGGAGCGTGGGTATCGTTTGTTGCGACCGTAGCACGCACTGCTGCCTGTCGTAAAGGCGGGATGGATGCACGGGGTATCGAAGAGAAGGAGCGATGGACAGTGTGGTGGGGGTAAGGATGGAAGGTGCGTTGACCGCTTTGCCGTGGCCGTTGTCGTGGACGGCAAGCCATGCCATCACCTCGCCGCTGCACGGCATCTCGACGTTTGTTCGGCTTGCACGGCGACACGCGGCACGCGCAGCCCAGCCCAGCCCAGCCCAGCCCAGC